AAGAGGAGCCCCGATGATCATCTCTGCTTTTCTCACCACTCTTCTCACTTTCTTCCAGTCTGAGGCGCTGCAGCCTCCACACAACACAGTGAGACAGCTGGTCAGAACGCTCTCTGTGGTGCTTCTGTAGAAGGTCGTGAGGATTGGTGGGGGCAGGTGGGCTCTACTCATCCTCTGCAGGAAGTACAAGTGCTTTTGTGCCCTTTCGACTAGTGAGGTGGTGTTTACCGTCCTAGTGAAGTTGTCTGTGATGTGCACCCTCAATTTGGGGCTGTTGACCACCTCTACAGCTGAGCTGTTGATGAGCGGTGGAGCGTGGTTAGGCCGGTTCTTCCTGAAATTGACAGTGATCTTTTTCGTCTTCTCTACATAGGGCTAAACCATAGTAGATCTGTTATGAGCTGTGGATCTGGACTGAAATGCAGACCAGGAGTATAATGAGCATTTTACGATTTTCTGAGGCAAATGACAAAGAGGCACAGGATAAAATGAGGAGCCGATGAATACTGGCCACTGACTAACACCTCAAATAGGGATCAAGACTGGTGTGAAAAATAGACAAATAAACCAAGAAACACAAGTGCATTGAATCAGCTATTGAACACAACGTAAGGCTAAGGAATAAATTTAAAAAATGGGAAAAATACAAGGAAGAAACTAAGAGAGCTAATCCGAAATTGTAGAAATTATGAAAAGAAAGACTAAAGATAAAACCATCCAAAAATAATAATAATAAATAAACCCCCAAACAGCATAAGTCATTCATTGGATTTGGCGTCATTAAACGAATCAAAACCAAACCTAAATTGCAGACCCTGAAAAAAATCTTAAAGGACAAACCAGCTGAACATTGAGATTCAGAAATGGTTTCCTCCCATTGAAAATGTTTCCAGATAAACCATGGCAATTACTAAGCAACTTCTATGATTTCCTTCAATTTTGATTAGAATACTATTTGATTATTCTGCCTGATAATTTGCAGAAGCTTGCTTATGGCTACAAAAAATGTGGGATTTTTTTTAAAGGGATCTTAAACCAGATGTTATTGGAGGTGTGCACTGAAATTAGATTCACTGAAATTAAATCAGAAACAGATCATGCTTAAATTGAGCCTGTCAGAGATATAATGGAACCAAATGGTTGTGAGCAGGGCTGCATAATAGGTCAAAATAAGTATAAACATCAATCAACTCCAAGAACTGAATGCCCTGATATATTTTTTTAAATCTTACCCTGGCCTCCTGTGGTGACTTAACTCCAGGTATTTCTCTTAATCTAATAGTGATTAGTATCCAGGGATCTGCTGACTGGCTTGTTTCTCTGCATCCTGACTGTCTGGTCTGTCGCTTCATTCATCAGCAGAGCTATTTTTAAATTTAACTCTACTTGCTGGATCAATACCTCCAGTATATCCTTGACTCTTTTCCCAAAACAGAAACATTTGATTGATTTTGTATCAACTGACCAAAGGAAAAAGGTCTTACAAACTGTGCATGACAAAAGTATTTATAGTACCAGAACCTATTTAAACATTGTCAGAATAAAACCACAGGCCTTAAATTATTTTATTGGAATATTGTGTAAAATACACAAAGTGTATAGTTTAAACATTTCTTTTTATTTTATTTTTTTACACATTTGAATTCTAAAAAGATGTAGTACAGTTTTACCTTCCACCTTGTTTAAATATAACTGTTGTAGGGAAGCTTAAAGCAGGGTTATAGTAAACAAAATAATGTTCTGTTTTAAACATCTCACAGAGCACTGTTTACCCTACATCCCAAGGATAGGAAGATTACAACCCAACTGTAAGCCTCCCTAGACATGGTCATTAAGCTTAACTAGCAGGCAAAGCAAGGAAGGTATAATTCAGAGAAACAGGCATGAGGTCACAGTAAACTTAGAGGTGGTAAACTCAGGGGTGAGAAACTGTCGAAATGATTAATATTAGCTTTACTATTTATTACAAATGTGTTTTTATAAAAGCGTTATAAGATTAAAATTGTTGAAAGGAAAAACATGGAAAGTGCCATTTGAAGTTCACTACAATGCATGGAATAAAACAAAGATATATGGGAATCATCTAGTCAAATGGCAGCTAACTTGCTCCATCTGCAAAACTTTTATTATTATAAGGCATGATGGTAGAGGCATCTTGCCTGGGGTTCTTTACTTTACCATTGGCAGGGAAGCTGGTGTGAGTGCTCTGGAAGACATATGTTGGTAAATGAGGGAAAACTTGTTTGAGCAGCAGGAGTCCCCCTTCCTGGGGTCAAATATAATGTAGAATGAAAGGGTTTTGATCAAAGCATAGACATGTTAAACTGTCTGTCAGTACTTGATAATTAATACAAATTAGATCAAACGTAGTTTGTTCATGCTGCAAACATGGTGCTTAAAAACCTTTACTCCAGAGATCTGAATTGAACTGCACATTTTGAAAACATAAGGAACTCACAGTATGGACATCATATTTCCTCCCACTTTAAAATTAGGGCTGACCTTTCGATGGTGACACAAAACATCTTGTATAATGCGTTTACAGTAGCCTTCTAACATAATATGCAGAAAAATTCAAAGCGTGTCAATTCTGCACATCATCTTTACGATGTGCAGGTCACCCACAGAAGCACCTTCAGTCAGAGACTCATTTCATAATGCTGCACCACAGAGTGCCACAGGAAGTCAAACTGTATAATTCATCTCTCTAAAATCTAATTTCATAACGAATTCTTTATTTCATAACTTCACCATGAGCAACAACATGGTCATGTGCAATAATTGTAATTTGTTACTAAGCAGTATTGTAAATTGTAAATACTGTTGATTGTATATACTGTGATCCATATCTTATTTTATTATTATCTTTATTTTATTCTTGTTCTTATTTTAATCACCGATACTTATTTTTATATATAAACGGGTTAACTGCATGGAAAGAATTTCCCACAAGGGATTAATAAAGTAATTCTGATTCTGAATACTTTTTTTCAGAATCAGTGTAGGAGCTACACAATTTACACAAAAAGTATCATGATATTTCAGTATGTGATCTACTGAACAGCAGCAGGAACTGTTCTGATCTTTGATGCTCTTTCTAGCTCAACAGAACTATCAACGATGAGGCATTTGACAAGCAATATAAAGTGGATGGAATAAACATACAGAAAAATATCCCTCAGTTTGTGTTTACAGCATTATTATTATTTTTTACCTATATAAATTATAAGGATTTGCTTACTTACTGTACATATCTGGCATGAGCGGGTTAAATGGAGGCTGAGTTACTTCAGTCCATTAAACCTTCAAGCAGGTAAACCACATAGAAAGATTGAATGACCAGAGGGCTTTCCTTGAAATGGAAACTTGCATTTACATCCCGGGCTGACTCTTAAAACCATATAGCTTCTGATAGGAGGGTTTCCCTCCTACAAGTGTGATGGAAAAAAGATATTGAATTCCTTTACAGTAACAGCATCAGAAGGTAAATATTTAATGTAGGTATTCTCTGTTTACAGGAAACATTCACTATCAGACTTTTCTGCAAATGGATATAAAGTAACACCTTTTCCAAAGTGTTCAACATGATGCTAGAATGAAATACATGTAACTACCTACAGTATATATGGTCATATTCAATAAGTTACAGAATACTTTCTGATGAGGATTGCTTGTCAGCTCTTCTGTGTTAGAATATATTTTTATTAGTCTAATGTAATATCTTTATCTAAAATGGTACTTTTTCATTGGCTGAAAGCTGTGATTAATCTTCATAATGTTTTTGGCTTAGTGAAGTATGTTCCTGAAATAAATGAACAATTTAATTATATTATCATTTATTGAACATGATTGCATGCAGTAAATAGGCTCTATAACAATGTGTCTGATAATACTTTGTATTGTTTGATGCATTTTTACATGATTGCAAATTAATTAGGTTTTGCTTCTTTAGAAAAATGTGTAAAACAAAACAAAACAAACTTTTGTTCGCTTTTTACTCTATAACTTCTTTATTCTAGGAGTCATTACAATAGTTCGATTGAATAAAAAAAAAAAACAAACAAAATTAAAAAAACAAGATGGAAAGCAACAGAATCCATGCCTGGAATTTTATTAACGGCAGATTTTCATTTTTTATACTTTATGCTATACTTCGATTGATAACTTATCTGTATTTCTTGAAAGCTATACATATAGATCAGATAGTGTTGGAGGTACCACAGTAAAAAAAAATGCTTTTTGACATAAGTTTGTTTTAAAGTTACAGAAAACAAAGTTTTAGTTTTTTTTTATAACATTCAGACAAAATCCCAGACCAATTTCTTCAGATATAAATAAATAAATAAACTTGTTTTTTCATCTGAAACAACAAAACCCACTTTTTATAATCTTCCAAAGTGTTACATTTATACAGTATAAAAATATTTGCTACCTTTTTTTCTCTTAACCTGTACCTTCTTTCCTCAGTGTTCTTTAGTTCAGTTATGTACAAAGTGGTTCACTCTAATGTTTTTAAATATTTTTTATTACTTTACTGAAAAAATTATCACTGCAACAAGTTAATTGAAATGTACTTTTCCAAGCAGAGCTAGTGAAATTTTTAGCACTATTATTGTGAAGATATACAGAACTTCAAATTTTTTTGTTTTCTCAGAATGAAAGGTATTAAAATGACTGAATCCCAACCTCCTATATTAAAGTATCATGTATTAATATAAATACAGTTATTTCTTTTTATCTTGTGGCTCAGCTGATTAGGGTGGTAGAAGCAAAGAGAAAAAGCTCTGCAAAAAAAAAAAAAAAGACTCTCAATGAGCAGTCAAGAGCACGAGATGAGCCGAGAAAGAGGAGGGAGACAGAGGACAAGAGTGCATAAGACGCAGGGATAGCCTGGTCAGGTGGAGAGGTGGGAGGGTGGAGGAGGACAGAGCAGAGCAAAAAGGATGGGGGCACAGCTAACGCAGCATAATAAGCCAGCAGGCTGCTTGGTTACCTTCCAAACAAAGCTGCTGATTTGTTGAAGCAAAAACAAGAGGAGGAGAAACGTGAGACATAGAGAGATAGGAAAGAGGGGGAGGACAGAAAGAGATGAAGTGAGTGATCGTGCCTTGCCACACAGACTTGAAGTGCATTCTCCCTTAGAGACGGTAGCAATGCTGGAGCTTAACATAAGAGAACAACTGTAGAGTCTCCCCTGCACTCTCACTGAGCTGTGAAACCACCCGGACAGAAGCACAGCATCAGGAACAGTGAAGCTGAAGAGTTTTACAAAGTCTGGACGAAAGAGGAAGAGCTGATCTAATAACAGGAAGGGGGCTTTTTTAGTGTGTGGAGGCGAATCGGGGGAGTCAGCATTCTGAGGATGTACCAGGGGAGCTGCTGAGCGTTTGGCTTCTGTACCCGCTTTCACACACCTACACACACCTTCCACAGGAGGACAGTGTGTGGTGCCCCCAGTGGAGAATGAAGAAGCACTCGGCACGAGTGGCTCCTCTCAGCTCATACAGCACTCAGGTCCTAACCTGCCCCAACTCTGAAGGTAAACTGAACCAACTAAAAAGACCCTGAACATCATTCAGACTCGGCATGACGCAGGGTTCCGGCAAAACAACATTAAAAGGGTGTTTGGCTAACGAAATAATACTTTAGTATTTAAAAACATAAATAGAAGAACAAAAAAATGCAGCTTAGGTCAGTGATGCCTCTATTTTATTGGAACTCTAAAACCCTGAAACTTCAGAGTTTATCTTTGTTTGAAAGTCTAAAATCAGAGTAAAATGACCCAAAGCATGAAAACAAAATTATGCTTTTTCAAGTTTTATATTTTTTAGCAGTTTATCACATATTTTAATCTTGCTAAAATATCTAACTCACATCTAGTTAAACAAAACACATTTTTACCCTAAGACAACTTCCATTTTCACAACTCATACCACAAATGACATAATGTTGAATCTAATCAACTTTTAACAATTCTGGCAGATCTATTGCACAGCTTCCAGCCTAATTAGGATAAAGACTTAGTTAGTATGGGCCAGAGTCAAGCTCACTAGTGCTGCAGCTATTACTGGGAGCTTCTTATTGAATTCAGTGGGGCTCCATCAATCAGTGCTGCTGGCATGCAGTGAATAGTGGTGAGGATAAGACGCAGAATGGATTGGAATCTGAGGTTCCCGCACCACACTGCGTCACACAGATTTGATAAGCTGTCCAAGTAGGAGCTGGAAGTGAATGATCCTCTGCTGCAATTTCTTTATGGGATAAAAATCTTGACAACTCCAAATTATGATTGTCTTTCCTTAGAAACACACGCTCAACGCAGGAAAGTAAACATATGTCTGTATTATGAAACACAGCTCTCTGCTATCTTCAGTTCATATCCAAACTGCTTTGTTTTTTAAATTTTGTTCTCTTTTTAATGTCATTTTGTTCAGGTTAACATGCAGGAAAGGAAATGTTTTGGTTTGTCCATTGCTGCTCTTCTGGTGGATACGATCAGACTCATGATAGTGCTTGTTGTAATAGCTTTTCAAGATGGAAAGAAGACAACTGTGCTCATTTGCTGGATGAAATAAAAAATATTCTAACATCTTCAGTTTTGCAGAGATATTAATTCTAATTTTCCTAGTTATCAACCTTTTGGGCCTTTTGCACAAAAGGTTCTGAAAGAGTTTTTGCTTTAACAGAATATAAATAGACCAAATCTTTGGATGATCTTGCAGATATACTCCATGTTGGGTATGCTTTTCAGAATTTAGTGTGGATTCATCCTGATAAAAAAAAAAAGCTATAGATTTACATAGTTTCGGTAAAAATTAAAGAAGCTGATGTCCAGACTTTTTAAGACATTTTGCTTACAACCCTAAGCAAAATCCATTACATTAAATTGCTCCCATGAAGAGTCAATTTGGTGTGTAATTGTGTCTTAACACACCTGTATGAAGACCACGGAGCAATGCAGAAAGGTCAGGGAGGAAGTTCTGGGGAAATTAAAGAGTGATGCAAACAAAGTGAGGCACCTAAACTGACATGTTAGCCAAAGTGAGAATAATAAAAGTTCTAAAAGGTCCATGGTGAGTCTGAAATCCAGAGATCCATAGCTCAAGTGGAAAAAAATCTTATAAAATGACAACTATTCCCTGTGCATATACTGTGCAATGCAGTGAGATATACAATCACTAACAATGTAGGCTTCTAAACTCATGCAACTTTGCACATATTATGGTTTTAACAACTAGATGCATATTTTTTGTATGTTTCATTTCTATGGTTCTACCTATTAAAGCTCTAGTTTTAATGGTAACTTTTCTTGAAAAACCTCTCCCTCTATCTCACCTAAAGGAAGAGTGAGGTCTGGTTTACAACAAGCCTTGTAGGAAACATGGCAAAAAAAAATGGAAGACAGTGCTCTATTGGATGAGACCAAAAGTACACCTCCTGGCCTTCATGTAAAGGGTAGAAGAGCTGATGAGAAAATGGATAGAGCTAAATACAGCACGATTTTTGAGGGCAACTATTAAAGGGCTACAAAAGACTTGGCTTTAGAATTCCAGCCTAACCATACACCCAGATCTAAAAAGTAATGGTTCAGATCCAAGATTATTTTGGTGTAAGATTGGTTCAGGCTAAGTTCTGACTTTAATCTAATTAAGTATCAGTGTCAAAACTTGAGAATTTATGTTCAGAGATTCTCCTAATCTTACCTTAATTTCTGTATTATTGTTTTATTCCCTAGATGCTGAAAGCTCGATACCCTAAAATACTGACCCATAATTTCAGTGTGAGGAGGTTTTATACATCATTGTCTTTTGGAGCTAAAATTTAATGCACATCTCATTTTATGGACAGCTGTTCATCTGTAAAAGCCACTTTATGCTGGATGATCTTCTAATATATAAATAACATACAATGAAAACCTGAATAGAAAAAGTGTGAGAAGGTTATTGCTTTAGAGGCACTGCTTGTACATTCTAAGCTTTGCTTAGTAGCCTTTTAACTGGATCACTGTTTGATGTTTATAGTTTATTAATGTTTATTTACCCCAACAAAAATATCTTTTATATGCATTTATATCTATCTCTTCAATAATTTTCATTTGGTTCTCATGACATTAGAAAAATTCTACCATTTTTTTTTTCCCTTTATCATCTTGTTCTCAAAACTTTGACAGTACACACCACTGAGATTAGCTGTGGCTCAGTTACTTAAACTGCTGTTGCGTCCTCATTTCAGGTCACAAACAAAAGGATAACCGATACACTAATTAGGAAGCATGAGAGACTTTGGTGTCTTTAGTCATCGTAGAAAACAGCAGAGTTTCATGTGCCGAGTTTGCAGAAAGAAAACAGCCCCCAGCACATGTCGTTTTTTATCCCTACCCTGGTGTAAAATGATCACACCTTAGAGAGACAAAAAGGGGGGAAAAAAAGATTTAAGCATTCTCAGTAAATGCAAAACACACACCACCTCAAGTGTTATAGCATAGTCCAGGAGCCATTTATTTGCGCAGTCCATTAGGGCACAAGGCCAAATCTGCATTACCGTTGGAAGATTAAAGTATTATCTGCCCATCGCTACACCAGCCAGATCCTCTGTCTATCAGTACAAACACAGCTGGTCTTCTCCAGGTTCAGCTCCAACGTTGTTATGACTTTCTTTTGGAATGTCATGTGGTTAGATTTACATTTACTTAATTGCCATTGGGTGACTGTGTACACTTGACCACAAAGGCTACCAAACACATAGTGCATCACAAGACGGCAAAGCTATATTTATGAAATGAACAGCCACCATGCCAACCCAATCCATTTTAAACACATTCTTTTATTAGGCATTAGTGCCTGTTCAGCAGGAAATGCAGACTGAGGTAATGATCTGTGAGGGTAACTGATCAATACGTGCTTGTGTGATGGGACACAAGCCAGAGAATCATACTCAAGTCAGAATATTATGCAGACATTACTATGCTGTTTATTAAGAGCTTTCTTCTCATCCTATTTCTCCCTAGGAGAGGATGGTTCAGAGTCTCGTCCAGAAACTCCAGGCAGTGAGACAAGTATAGAGATTCGGTCCTACCAAACATGTGCCAACACAGTTCTGAAGGTGCTCGGCGGTCTTTTGATGCTTCTCTGCGTGTCCTCCTCCTGGGTGGGTACCACTCAGGTGGTGAAGCTGACCTTCCAGTCATTTTCCTGTCCCTTCTTCATCTCCTGGTTCAGCAGTAACTGGAACATCCTCTTCTTCCCCATCTACTACTCTGGACATTTCTTTACTGCCGGCGAGAAGCAGACTCCCATTCAGAAATTTAGGTAAACCTCCTTAAAAAATAAAAATTAGGGCCAACCCCCCCAAACACCAGACGCCATTTAGATGTTGGTTTTTAGGCTAAATCTGGTCGGTCCTTCATAGTCTTGATTTAGTCGAAAAATCATTGTAGAAAATAGGGTTGTGTTCTGTCGGTCTGATTTTCCAATAATAGACATTGAAAAGACATTGAAAACTGGGTTTGCAACATCTTTTCAACAATCTTAAAATTACGGCTTTACAGCTTTCAAATTGCAACCAAATGTAGACGTTATTTGTACTTAAATCATGTCGTCTTTGCAATGTCTTTTCAACAAATCTTTGTTCGGATGGACATTTCTGATTTGATCAAGATTTACAAGTTAATATGTGTTGTTGGTCAAAGTAACAGGGTTTTACAAGGGGTTGAAATCCCCTGCTAAATTTCAGACCAAAAAAGACTTCACTTCTAATTCTCTTGAAAGCAACTTTCTATTAGTTGGACACAGAAAGAACAGTGTTGATGTCTTTCTTAACAATGTGAAACTGAGGTTAAACCAAACATCTCTTTCTAAATTGGGTGAACCAAGCCTGATCTTAACATATTTGTTTGAGGATAGTTTTCCTTTGGACATATGAGCTAAAAAAGTCAAACCTCAGACATGTTTTTTTTTGCACCAGGCTTAAACAATGAATGTTGATGTTGTATGGTTAGAGAATATTATTGCTTCCACAACTATAGAACACTAGCACATTTCAAGATTTGCATTGGACAAGCACATAATTCTTGAAAGGTTTATTTTCTAAGTAACTAAATACATCATGATTAGGATGGTTTAACTACCATCTTAATATCACTAAATCTCTAAAAGAGCAGAGTAGGTTCTATTTAGCCTGTTTTTGGGTAGAATTGGTAAAACAAACTGACTAAACTTCCAACTTCCTGTTTCTACAGGGAGTGCAGCAAACTCTTTGGGGAGGATGGAATGACTCTCAAGCTTTTTGTTAAAAGGACAGCTCCCTTCTCCATCCTATGGACGCTGACCAACTACCTGTACCTCTTAGCCTTGAAGAAACTGACAGCCACTGATGTCTCTGCACTCTTCTGCTGCCACAAAGCCTNACAGCCACTGATGTCTCTGCCCTCTTCTGCTGCCACAAAGCCTTTGTCTTTCTCCTCTCATGGATCGTCCTAAAGGACCGTTTCATGGGTGTTCGGGTTTGTGTTAAATTTAGTCAGTTTATGCATCTGTGTGTTTGTTTGGCTCTGATGGCTCTTTTTCTCTATCAACAGATAGTTGCAGCCATAATGGCCATCACAGGTATTGTCATGATGGCTTATGCAGATGGATTTCATGGGGATTCCTTCGTGGGTGTGGCTCTGGCCGTGGGCTCTGCCTCGACTTCAGCTCTTTATAAGGTCAGACTGATGGTTCTAAAGCAGTTTTAACAAAAAAGTAGTTACCCCCAAATACGCTTTGGATTTGTAATAATTCCCTCATCTTCAAGGTTCTTTTCAAGATGTTCCTCGGCAGTGCCAACCTTGGAGAAGTTGCGCATTTTTTTTCAACAATGGGCTTCTTCAACCTTATTTTTATCTCCTGTGTTCCCCTCATCCTCTACTTTACCAAAGTGGAGCATCTGGGTTCCCTTTCCTCGCTACCCTGGGGTTACCTGTTTGGACTGGCAGGACTGTGGCTGGGTGAGAAAAAAAATACTGTACTTTTCTTGGTAAAGAGTGCCTTTACCAAGAGAACAGATTAAAAAAAACACTAGTTTGCAGAGTTTGCAGAAAAATGATACTGCAGAAGTTCTTGCCTTTTCTTTTCTTTTTTTAACAAAATTTCTCACATACCATCAGCTAGGATAGAAGAAAATGTAGCTGCATCAATTTCAAATCTTGCAACGGGTTCTCAGTTTTACTTAGGACTGGACTTTGATGAAGCCCTTCCAATGCATGAATATACTTTGATCTGATGGCACAATTCTTTAACTTGCAAATTTACTGCTGGTGTGGTTCCATATGTTTCTTAAACAAGGACATGTTTGCGAGAAAGAAATCAAACCCAATTTATAAATGTATAAACCTAATTAGAGATTTCTTGCTGGCAGCACTAGATTAGAGCAGTGTCTTTTTAAACACCCTATCCATATGTTTATTAAAGAAGGATGTAGAATGGAATGTATGTTAAATGCTTACAAGCATTGCAAAAAAGTTAATAAACAATCCCCTGGATTTGTTTCCAAGTTTGAAGATGTTTCACTTCCCACTCAGGAAACTTTTGAATTCAAAATGTCTAAAACTAAAATTAGCATTGAGTTTGAAGCTTTATAGAATAGTAGAGTTAAAAACAATCAAATTGAACCAGAAGAATGGGTTAGGAATGGCGAGTCGTTTGGGTGCCGCGTTAGCCTGCAATACCTGATACTAGTCTATGCCTCCAAAAGGGGATAATTAGGGACTATGACCTGGATGACTAGGAATCTTCACCAGCATACTTACTAACAAAAATTAAAATGCTTTCTGTTGGCTTAAAAAAGCCTAAAATGAGTAGGCTTTTAATGTAATGTAGCCATATTATATTAGCCTTTTCCTATCTCAAGTACTTTGCAGCTGCTGGAAGTCAGGGTCAATCTTCTCATTGACCTTGGTCAGCTTGTACATTTCTTGCTGGAAAAAAATCAGCCCCACCCCTCTCAGCATGATACTACCACTACAATCTTACATGGTAGGGAATAGGGTGTTCCACATGATGTGATTTTGTTTTCCATCAAATATAGTTTTGCATGCTGGATTCTGGTCTAAACTGTAAAATATACCAACTGTACTTTCATGTGTTTGCTGCATATCTTACAAGGTTTTTGTGGCCGTTAATCAGTACTTATGCTTAGGAATTTTTTCAATATTTGCTTAATGCTTGTCATCCTTCCATCCAGAATCACTAATAGTTTCCTATTAATAGATTCTACCTTTTCTATTGTCACTGCAGCTCCTCCCGAGATACCATGGTGCTTTTCCCTAGCTCAAATGAATACTATTCTCCTTGCATAACTTGTTAGTGCAGTAAATGGCCATTTATTAGTTTATTCCCAGTTGTACTGTGCTCTTTTCACTTTCCCATGATTGACAGTGTTCTGCAAAGTGTTTAAAGCTTGGGAAATTGTTTTTTCTCACTTTAGTTCAGCTTTAAACTTCTGCAACTCTTTAACCTTGGCTGCTTTTCCTTGGTTCTTATATGCTTTTTTTTTGTTTACAAATTAATTAACCTCTGAGGCCTTCATAGAATAGCAGCATTTATTCAATTGATTGTGTCAATGTGTGTAAAGGAGTAAAGAAGACTAGGTACAAATGCAAAATACATCATTCAGAATTAAATTAGGAAATACATTTTGAATGATGAAGTCATCTACCGCTTTGTGTAGACCTATCACATAAAGTCACAACAATAAAGCTGTTGCTTGTGACATAAACAATGTGAAAAGTTCAAACAGTGTTATTAGTTTATCAAAGAATAGTAAGCTGTTCCAAAAATCTCTAAAAATCAGGAAAAACTAGCTGGTAAAAGATGAGTGGCCAATAAAGATGCACCAGTATTCCCAGTTTGTAACAAATCTAAAAATACAACCTGCTGGCCTTTTTTCACTTAATCTGGTTCTGGACATGCTTAACTTACACTGCCAAAAGTATTCAACCACCTGCTTTGACTGACATATGATTTTAAGTGACATTCCGTTTCTAATCCAAAGGGGTTCAATAAGAAGTTGGTCCACCCTGCATCTGCTGACCCTGCATCATCAGTTTACGTGTTTTTCAAGTAGCTGTAGTTCTCAAACACTTCTATTTTCTTATGATACAGCTTTCAGTAGACTTTAAGAGTGTGGAAATTTCCCGACTGGATTTGTTGCACAGTTGGCATTCTATCCTGGAATTGAATAAGCTCATAAATGTGACCCATTCTTTCACAAATGTTTAGTGCATTTATTCTACTTAAATTTCTCAATGTTTTTTTTGTTTTCTTCAGTTTTTAATATTCTGGTCCATGTGGGAGTGGTGCTGACTTACCCCATCCTCATCTCCATTGGGACACTGCTCAGTGTGCCGGGAAATGCAGGTAGGTGTTTTTTGTTTTTGTTTTTTTCTACTCTAACATTCCCCCAATATTCAGATTCAACCCCCTTGGTTATGCTGTAAGTGAACACAGTCATTAAAGAAGACTGAATTTTACATATTCTGGGGTACTTGTATTGAGAGGTCAGCACCTAGGGCCACAATTGCAAACAGATTACACAGCAAGTCTGCCTCTCCCATCCTGGAAATCCAATCATCAGTGTGCTAAGACAGATCCTGCAACTAACATCTTGCTGAGGGAGGATCAGGTTGCCAAGGCGACACTAAATACCTACAGTCCACTTCTTTTCTTTAACCACAGTGGCTGGATGAAGGTCAGTGGGGTATGTCTATCTGTCCCGAAGATCCTGATCACAAAGATGGGATAAAGTGGATGTGCTAATTACAAAGTGCATTTGTTACACTCATCTCCTGCAGCAACATTGTCCTGTGGTTTAATTTGACTTAATGTAATTAATCTTGATTTGTTTTTCTTTCTCTGACACCCTTCATGCCCTTTTTCCTGCCCTCCCTGCTTCTTGGCTCCCTCTTTGCTTCCTGTCTAGCTGTAGATGTTTTGAAACATGAGGTGATTTTCAGCGTGGTGCGTCTGACAGCCACCTGCATCATCTGCCTTGGGTTTCTACTCCTCCTACTGCCGGAGGAGTGGGACTCAGTTACTCTTCGATTCCTGGCCAACATTGCTGATAAGAAGTCAGAGGAACACGGAGAGGAACTGACGGAGTCCAGTGGCCAGACTCGAAGTCGGAGTCGAGCAAACGGCGCCATCTCCATTCCCTTGGCATGACATGGCTGGATTCTCATGTTAATAACGGTCCATCTGCTTCCACCCTGAGGTTCTGGGAGTAAGCTCAGTCAATGTGGACTTCAAATCCAGGAGGACAACACTGACTCAGATAAAATGTAATCGTTACTTTCCAGATGTACCTCTTCCAGTTCAGAAAGGGGGAGCAGAACACTTATGGATCAAGGAAGCCTAAAAAGCTGAAGGTGGTATCTACTGTCCGGAAATAGCTGCATTGCTCAATCTTATGCCCTGCACGCATCCCCAAGCAAAAGCTGAGTGGCTTCTCTTGACATGCTCTGCAGACTGTATTCTGTGAATATAAATTTTGGCAGGGCCAGTTTGGCTCAAAATATATCTATTTATTTAAATCTGTTCCAGGTACAGTATTGATTTAAAGTCTAACTGAGCAGTCTTACTGACAAAAATGGCTATTATACTATGCTCAATGCAAAGCTCTTTTGGTTTCATAATAAAATACTTACAGCCTTTACAGAAGGAGTTCCTATTTTAAGTTACGGTGAAGGCTGGAATTACATGGTGTCATGTTTTTTGTTTTTTCTATTTTGTTATATTTATCATTTCAGAAAAGCACGAATCCACATTAGAGCAGCATAAAATTCATATTCAAATGATAAAACATGGTGGTTGATTTATGTTGTCTTACAGAAAACTGGCTTAAGCAAAAGGGTTATGTGTGTAAAAATTGTGAGGGGTAGTGATTTTGGCATGTGTCAGATAAAGAACTTTGAAAGCTTACAGCCTTTAATGGACAATAAACTCCCCTGCATACCTATGTTTGCTAGAATAATATTAGTTTCCAACTCTGACAACAGAAAGAGGATGTTTGTAATAATTTTAGCCAATGTAAAAACTGATTTAACAGGGAAATAGGTTTTCTTTGCATAAAAAAATATTTGTTTTAATATTAGATAGATGCTTGTTGCTTTTTAAAGCCCGTAGATGATGTTTACACAAGAAGACACAAGCAGACCAATATGATAATTGCTTGTAAAATTCAGTTCAATAATAAAAATCCTATTATTTCCAAAGGGAAATTAAATGATTCACTACCTCATAGGGTTTTTTTTTCTGTATTTTACTTCGAGTTGTAGGTGTATTAGCTGTAGGAAGGAAGGATCTTCTGTAGCGGTATGTCTTGCATCGGATTTGAAGAAACCTCTGACTTAAGACACTCTGTTGTTTAAAAATATTCTGAAGAGAATGCTCACAGTTATAAACTTTTTCACTTTATGAAGAATTCTCGTTTGTGAAATAATTTCCAGAGGTTCTATAGGAGTTCCTAGCCGGCCTTCTTTATTAACTTGTTGATCTTTTTAAGTCATTTGCTCTGATGCTGTTACCCCAGCAGATAATGGAGGAAGAGATTGCGCTACACGACAGACTTAAAGAAGGCTTACAGAAGATATATAGCATATTGTTGCAAACGCCCAAGGACCTAAGCTTCCTCTAGAAGTACAACCTGCTCTGTCCCTTCTTGTAGAAGTGAGTACTTCGATACTTTAACTTGAGTAGGTGTTTGACCGAGCAACTTTTACGTGTACCGTAGTTGAGTAAGATTTGACCATGAATTTTAATACTTTTACTTAAGTACTGATTTTGAGTACTTCATCTTCCACTGCTGATAGCTGCTTGTTCGCTGAGGCAAACAAACAGAAGTCTCTCTAGGACCTTCATGGTGTGGGGTACGGGTCTATAGTCACTGAGGTCTGTTCGCTGAGTCTTCTTTGGCACCAGAACAAGCAGGAGGTCTTCCACATCAATGGAACTGCCTCTTGGGTCAGGATTAGGTTGGATGTTTCGTAAAATACCACATAGCTACTCTGCACAGGCCTTCAGGACTCTGGGGCGGACACCATCAGAACCTGGTGACTTATGAATTAGTCTCTTCAGTTACCTCTTCACTTGAATTTTAGAGACTGACAGTTGAAAAGCGGAGGGAACAGCACCATCTTCTGGTTTGGCTGACAACAATATGAAGCAGGAGACAACAATATGAAGCTGCTCATAGAAGCAGGAGAGTCAATGGCAGAGGAGGGCAGAATGTCTATGTGACCATGGGCACAAGAGCAGGATGCTGAGCTTGGTCCTGAACTAAAACTGTTGAAGAATGTGTTTAGTTTATTGGCTCTGTCCAAGTGTCCATGCATCTGATTATCCTTCAGCTTGAATCCTGTGATCTTCATCATCCCTGACCATACGTCTCTAATTCTTTTTTTGCAGGGGCTTGCTTTCCAGCCTGTACCTGTATGCCTCCTTTCTATTATCTTGACCTTATTGTGCTAATGCATTAAATCCCTTCTCCCTTTTTTTTCTTGTTGAGGGGTTGCTTAAGATCAATTGTTTATTCACATGGATTATTATTTGACAAGCATTCAACTGTTCACAGTCACACAGTTATTGCACTGATGTCCTCTCCATGTGGCAGCCTCAAAACAACCTTGCAGGGCTTCTTCAGCTTCCTTTAACCATCTCCTTACAGTTTTTTTTTAATGTCGGTTATGTCTTATAAAGTGGCCTGTATCTTAGAAAAATAAAATTGTGAATTTCTAAGTGGAGGTCTTACTTTAGAGATGTAGGAGTCCTTGACATTTGCATAAAAAGTCCAAAGTTTTGTTTTCTCTGGTATAGTAGATAACAAACTGTTGGAACTTTGTAGCAGAGAGTGAGCTGTGATTATAATCACCAATTATTGCCACAAATGCATTTGGCTGTTGGGTCTAGAGCTTAGCACCAGCAGAACTGATTACATTACATGCTGTGTCAGCAACGGCAGAAGGTGGAATGTAAATGGTTTATAAAAGAACACTGTTAAAATATCCAGGCAAATAATATGGCCGAAATCCATGACCTGGATGACACCATCTGTTGTTCACAAGCATTGCCAACCCACCTCCTTTGAATTACAATATCCAGTCCTCTTTAAACTTCTGCCTGCTGGTTTGGTCAGAAGGCCTGGCAAAGAGACGCTGGAGTTAGAGATATGATCCTGCAGCCACATTTCAGTAAAACACATAATGCTCATTGCTAAATTTTCTGTCTGGGTCCTTGTTAACGCTTGGAGTTCTTCTATCTTGTTTCTTAAAGATCTTACATTGCCCATGATGATTGATACATGAGGTAGCTTAAATTTCCTTTTCCTTTCTCATCTCCTTGCTGCTTCTCTACTTCCCTAGTGCCTCGTTTTCAACTTAGCTGGTACTTGAGGAAGTAGTTGATGAATTATTTCAGCTTTATCTATGTTAAATAGCTGCTCCCTGGTGTAAAAAAGCTACTTGCAATGGTTGCATTATAATAAGTATCCAAAAAGGAAAAAATATCAGTAAAAATCCTTCTGGTTTCATGGCATTTGAGACCAGAAGCAAACATCATCAGAAAAAAAAATTCTGATCCAAAAACAGAGAAACTAAAGTTCTCATACAAAAAGAATAACAGAGTCAAGCTTGCAAAGCTTCTCCAAAGTGCAGCCACCTAATGCAGCACAATTCTATAAATTAGAAAAATAAAGATTCAGGTATTCCCATATAAATGAATTATATGAACTGGTATAACAGAATGTATGATGAAGTATCATTCAAGATTATGAGGTTATCTTAGCTTTTTTTCAATTAGATATCCTCTCTGTCAGACACTCCCAGGAGCAACAGCATAGCTTGAAGCACATTCAGTGAGTTGAGACCTCTAATGAGCCATTTGCTGAGATGACAGTTCCAACTAAGCAGTTGTCGTGACATTTTAACATATCAAAATAAATGAGGCAGAAGAGGGTAAGTAATCTATAATGTTCATATGTTAACTGCATAAATGGGTTTTATTGCTTGAAAAAAAAGTTCAGCTTCAAGAACAAAAAGTAAAGTGACAAAGTAAGCACAAAGTGGGGAACTAGTAAAATCTAATAAAAGAACTGGTCATAAAATCTGCATGAAAAGGTCTGGATCAGATTTTAAAAGACAATATATTTCTTGTTAAGTCCGCCTCCTTGCTGCAAGAAATTATATTTATTTTTGCTAAAATGAGAGGGTAGGAAAATTAAAATCCCAGATTATTAAATTGTCTGTTTTATTATATATATATATATATATAATTTGCATTACTGTCTTCCTGGACTTTTATCTTAATTGATAGTTAATAACATACTGTATGTATAAAATAGTACAAAATCCAAAGACACTGGAGCTGCAAGGGTTTAGTATTTGTGGCATGAAAAAAACCAATGCTCATAGTAGTTGCATCTTAATCTACGGTAATACCTTTAAATAAAATCTGGTGTTATCCACATACCATAGGAAGATACCTAATAAGTCATTGTGATGTAGGCTTGTTATATATAGTCCCAGTAAAAATATATTTGTCATGATTTGTTTTAAACATCCGTGAATAAATGGCATTGTTTAGACAAACAACCAATTTTGACAAGTCAAGGACGAATTTGTGGATGTTTAAAATCCCTGTTTAATTTTTAAATAACATCCCAAGTTTTGCACACTTTATAGAGCACTTTTCAATCTATTGTGTTGATTGCAGTGTTTCAGAACTGCAATGAAGACTCAGCTGTCCAACTACAAAGACAACTTAAGGTGCTGCAGGGATTCGTACGCTCGGGAGGGAGAATTAGTTCTGCACAAATCTGACCTGAGATATTAAAAAATTTCTTCAGTATGAAAAAGAACGTTGGTTGGGATGGGGGGAGGGAGGGTGAAGAAAAATACATGAAAATCCCAAAAGAAAATCTTATAGAGATTATAAACTTGAGGATAAAATTCCAGCAGAACAACAAACCTAAACACAAAGCTAGAGCTGAATCATATTATTGTCCCAATAAAAGTTCACACTTTCATCTAATTGGGAACACTTGGCAAGACTACAGAGATTGTCTTTATTTAATTTGATTGAGCATGAGCTGTTTGGCAATGATGATCAAGCAGTCATAACTGTAGCAGGCTGAATATACACTGTATGCATACCACCCATTTCAGATTTTTCATTTTGTTTCAAAGTTTACGCTAATTTTATGTTGGTCCAACATATAGAGGCTTAGAAGAAAAAAATGAATCTTCAAGGGATGGAGTCGGCAAAATACAGTTTATTCTGAGATTTTTTTTAACTTCATTCCACACGCCCATTAAAAAAACTCTCCTCTTTGCAAACAGTGATTGAACCAGAAAAATGATAGATTACCATCCCTACAGCTAAAGCATTACCATGGCAAATAACAAAGTATTGTATTGCATAACTGGAAACCGTATTAAAAGCAATAATCCCATAAGGCAGCAAACAGAGAAAACAGAACAGCTCCACATGAAGACTTTGAAACATGAGCGACACTGTTCCTCTGTATTTTGTGCTTTTATGAACACAACAGGAGCCTTAGCTCACAAAGACCTAACAAATTTCTAATGAACCTGCTCAGCTCCCCTGCGGCGTTTCATATTACTAAAGGATGTGTGGGGATCTTTGAAGCATAAACTTATAAGTTTTAGAGTAACCAACAGGGAGAGTTCCCATAGAAACCTAGCTCATTTAATGACAGAGGCAAGTCTTACAACAGGAGAGGAGTATAAGCCTACTTATTAACCAGACTAAAACAGTTTATCTTATTATTTTTAGCAACAAACAGTGACTCTTCAGGACAAACATTACAGCATCTAGTGGGGAGGAAGTGTGGATTACAATGATTTGAACCGTAGTTTGAAATTCATAGCCTGCATATGAAAAACAAAGATGAGGCTGCTGTACGCTAAATATCTCTATGCAAGAAGTATTAAAAATGTATTTCCTTTTTTTTTCGATTTTTTTTTTCACCAAGGGCAGACATATTAGCACAAAACAGAGCTTAAATTTTGAAACTTTTGAAAATTCTGTCTACACTGTTAAATTCACTGTGGATTTTATCTAGTAC